GTTCACTTTTGCTCATGATTTATTTCCTCCTTTGCTTTATAATTTGAATTGTAAGCTCATGTTTGGCAGGACTTTATCAGCAATAATCCTTTGGTCATGGAATAGGGTGTGTTTTTGAAGCATGGATTTATGTTCCTTCTGCCAAAAATTCCAAGCACTTTACCACCTTGGAACAACTTTACATTAATTCTTGGCTTCAGGTTTTGTAGATCTTTTGCTAATGTTAACTCAAACTGTACCCACATGAAGCCAAACTGACTGTTATGACTTCTCAGAGATTGTCTCTGCTTCCTAAATCCAGAGGCAAGGTAGAAAATATTGTTTGCTGTTTTCCTTTTGAATGAAGGTACTGTCCCTCATGGGTCTTTGTGTGGGGCCAACAGTTCTAATAGCATAGGTTTAAGATAATACTCTTTACTCTTCATCTGTGTTTTAACCAAAGTATTGCTGCCATCTTATTTCCTTTGCTTCTATTATGATGTTTATCACTCCCAGAATGTTTTTTTGAGTTCAGTCATAGTTTAAAAAAGGTTGTTTGTCAAGGTCTTCCCTACATTTTTTGATCCTTTTTATTGTAAGAGGTTTTCAAGATATTTGGTCCTTGTTTCTTTGCCAAAAGTAGAAGCCTTTTTATCTGTTCAAAGGATGAAGTAATTGTATAGTTCTGCATAATTATGTAAAGAGAGAAATGGCAACAAGGATTTCATATAAGGAAAATGTTAAAGTGTGTTGGAATGTTGAAAACCTCCAGAAGGTGGGTGAGAATAGTAGCATATATTGAACATAAGGCAGTATCAACTAAGCAATCTCCTAAAGACTTGTTCCTGGAGCAAGGCACTTGCTTACTTGTGTATCTTCTTTCTCTGTTTTCACACCTCTTTGCATAAATTGTCATCTTAGTTGAACTTCTTACAGAAATAGGTCATACTTATTGTAACTACTTCCACACTCCTAATTTATTCCCCAATACATAGCCATCTGGTTTGTTTCTTCTTTGACTGTTCTCACCAAAATGTCTTGTGGCTTTGATTTACAAATTGAATGTGCATTTTCAGACTGTGTACAATAAAGAATTTGACTTGCCTTTGAAACGAGTTCCTGTGAGGGGGAAAAATAAATACTTTTATAAAATTTTTTTATTTGTAGATGGACACATATCTTTATGTGGTGCTCACACGTATGAGGCAAGTGCTCTACCACTGAGCTATAGCCCCAGACCCAGAAAAATAGAAATACTTTGAATTTCTCAAATAACAGGAATTTTTGTTATTCGTGAGCCCCTTGGATTACATATGGGCTTCTGTTCATGACATGACTTTGGATGTTAACTGGCCATTGGAAAGACCAACGATGTGATAACAAGGCTGAGCCTTTGAACTTGACCAACATCTGGGAAGAGAAAGGAGAGT